CAGCTCAGCAATGTGCGACTACAACCCTACGACAGGACCAAAGACCTTCAGGTTTTCTGAGTAGAACTTAACTTTTAGATTACTGAGTTTTCATTTCTAACATGAGTCAGTTCACGACATTGCACGAACATTTTGATCCTCAATGTTTAATCTGTTATGTGGAACTACATATATAAAATTTTCTTATAAACTTATATTTTAATACATATAAATTTCATTGTAAAACTTTGAAGTGATAGGATTGTGTTTGAATTAAGCGTTCTATAATTATAGTATATTTGTGATAGAAAACAACTCTAACAAAACTTTGATACTACGATAGAACAGCTCCTTTTTTAATTGACCCGGATTACTCCGAAAAACAAATCTTATAAGGAAGATTTATTTGATAGAGATTCAAGAAGATCAATTCACACACGAGTTTATTCAATTACAGACAGATTACGTTCAGCGACAATTTGTTAAAGAATTTACCGAACTATCATTTGAATAAAAAATCATAGTAAATTGGTGAATTCAATGAAAATTGATTGGAAATCAAATGAACAATATTCACACAATTAATGAATAGTGAAAGCTAATCAGCGAAAATCACCCTAAATTAATACGTGAATTTCAAGATTGGATTTTTTTCTAATACATTGAACTTGGCATAACCAATAAATTAGTTTGGTTGAACAGTTTAAGGTTAGTTTTAAAGTGGTCTTCGTTAAATCTTCTTTAGAGACATTAAGACGTTAGTTTGGCCACAAAAAAGGTTCAGTATACAACGGTGAGAGGATTTCTACTTTACACTTGTGAAACCGAGTTCTATCAAGTGAATGTTTGGCAACTTTGTATTAGATTAGTGTTTTGGCTGAAAGATTGTTTAAATCCGGTGGTAAGGCCGAGTAATATTAAGGGCAGGTAATGTGTTTTTGGGTATCGCAATGACAATCCAATCAAGTGTAAAAATCATGAAATACAAGCTTTATTGGTGATAATGTTTTAATTAATCTAGTTTATACAACTTTGGTGACTGATATCCAATGTTCAATAAGAACGATGTCTTCAATCACTGAATAAAAATAACACATTTTACACTTTTTCCTTTGTTATCATGTTCCATAAAAAGTATCGTGAATAACAAACACTGAAAGATAATTTACACGAAAAACTGACAAAAAACAGATATCTTCAGTAGAACAACTGTGTGTTGTGCCTTTAAGGCAGGCTAGTTATCACGCGATTTATTCGCCAATCGAAGGACGACTTATTCAATCTTAGTACTGTGCTAACACAATGACCTTCGACCGGTATGAGCAGCCTGGCGTCCTTATTGGTCCTTTGTCCACCTAGCCCGTCCACTTGAGTCCAGAACACCAATACCAGCTTCCATTGATAGTTATCGGAAGTTACTAATAATTTAATCTTCACTAGGATATAACATGGTGTATATTATTTATTAAAAGAACCAGCCAGTATTACATAATTAACAAATACCATGAAAATAACTTTTTCATGTAAAAAAAGACTAACGATTAGGCAGAAAGTTGACTATACTGAAAAAGTTTTCGAAGAAAGCCTATACAACAACAATAATTATTCTTTTAATCATTACCCCATGGTAATAATAATGGTTCAAATCACAGTTTTCTAATGATTAAAAATCTGCTCCGCAATGTATATCCTACCCACTTCCAGCATATTTTCCTAACATACTCTTCAGTAGAAAGCCTGTTTGTTCTCTCCCACAATAGTTTGTTGCTGATTGTATCCAGTCAACGAACATTGAGTATCTTGTGTAGACAATTGTTTATAAATGTTTGTACCTTTTTGATAATGGTTGTAGCAGTTCTCGTAGTTTCGTCTTCGTACAATAGAACTATCTTGACGTCTGTACTGAAGATTGTGACTTTGATGTTGACTGGCAGTTGTGTTGAGTTCCGTTGTTTCTTCAACTATAAGAATTCTGTCTTTGCTTTGCCAATCCTCACCCTTACGTCTGCATCATATCCTCCACGTTCATCGATGATGCTACCCGGATACGTGAAACTTTCCGCCTCTCCCAGTTTCGCCATCAAGTGTGATTGGTTGTTCTCCGTATCGTATTTGAGGATCTAGCTTTTTCCCTTGTGTGTGTTGAGGCTTACTGGTGCAGATACTGACGCTACACTGTTTGTCTTTATCTGCATTTGTTGGTGTGTATGAGATAGAAGGGCCAAGTCATCTGCGAAATCCAAGTCGTTTAGTTGCATCTAACCTGTCCATTTTATTCCGTGCTTCCCTTCAGATGTGGAAATCTTCATAATCCAATCAACCATCACAAGAAAAAGGAAGGAGGAGAATAAGTAGCCTTGTTTGACTCAAGTCCTCACTTAAAATGCATATGTCAGCTGTCCTCCATGCACCATTTTGCAGTGTAGTCCGTCGTATGAATTCAGGATGATGTTGATGATTTTCTCGGGCAGAGTTAGGCTCATATATTCCTAATTGTATTAATTGAAAATATGCAAACAATTCACTTACTACCAAACATTTTTTTAGAATTACTTGAATTGTAAACCAAATAACCATAATTTTTTGTACTGAATAATTCCATAGCTACTCAATAGAATTAAGGCACGAATTTCATCAATTTCACAACTGCCTACTTATAAGTAGTTTGTAAACAACATACTGTTTTCCTAAGTACATGATTAAAACTGATAATTTCAGTGTATAAGAAAGTCTAATTCAAACCTGAGTTAAAATGTACATTGATTATGTATATCTGCAAAATTCGATAGAGTAGTATTGTCTTTATTTATAAAACAAACGTAAATCAACTAAGTCACAACATTAAAACATGAATATATATACATCTCCCTTTAGTTTTACATGGTAGATTTGAATTGTTGTTCTTTTTTAACTGAAAATTAGGAAGATTTCATGCCATGCAATTGTTTATCCTATCTCACATGGAAGTGGATATGATACAATGACTTCTACTTCAGAAATAATTTAAAGTAACCAGAGATCGATCACACAAGCTAAAGTTTACTGCACTTTAATAAATCTATGATTATCGAATGGTTAAAAAACTATTTTGCATTCAAATTGATATTTCTGTATATGTTGCACATTCCTCGTAATGCTAATTTCTAATTGTCAGTTGTATAATATCTTACTTGATATTCCAGTATCTTGAGATCTATTTTGAAATCTTTATTCGTGGTTTCCTCATTTTCCTTTACCAATCAATTTAGGTAAGCCTGATCTACTTCTTCAGATTAGTTATTTACTAACCCTATGAAAAATTGAATTTATTTTCTATTATCTGTATGAATAACTCCCCTTAGTTGAGAACAGTCAGTAAGTTAACAACATAGGACTTAGGAAAGGCGGCCTGCTCGAATATCTGGGCTACCTGTTCCTTCGATCTAGATATTTCATCAAGTTATCTGTTTTGTTGATTGTTTTAGCACATCACTATGTCTATTGTGCGCACAACCTATTCAGGCGCGTTTATGAAAAGTTTACAACCTTTCGTTATACGGGATACAAAAAGGTACAATCAGCGACATCATGGTGGCTGGCAATATGCATTGAAACAAATGAACAGTAATCAAATGTGGATTACCAAACTTCTAACATCTAACTGGTCATCATTCAAAATTTATCGTCACAATCGATCAAGGTATAAGAAAAGGAAACTTGTTGAAATACTTTATGCTGAGAATTCTATGTTGTACCAAAAATATAATGTTGAATAAAGCTTCTAATAATAAAAATAAAATAAATAAAATATATACTTAATAAAACCTGAATCAGTAAAATCAGATAGGAGATAAACAAGATGAGGAGCGTAGGGTGGAAAACAATATAGAGAGTAGTAGAAATCTAAATATGAGAAATGCTACTGAACAGTCAATAATAATATATATGTACATCCTGAGCAGCTTTTCGATATTGCCCTTTAGTCTCAAATTTTTAGTATATTTGGTAATATAGTTAGCAGTGGGATCCAGACTGTGTATTTCGCCTTCTTTGAGATTCGTCTGAATTTACCTTCATCTTAATGATGATGTCCACACTGAAACCTGAACCCAAAACCTTTTGCTTCAAACTTCGGTGAGTTATCTATTGAGCTACTGATTCCATACGATAACTAAGATTCTTATTCTTGAATATCAATAAAGAGATATCACAAATCTTTACTAATACCTTCACATCTGTTGAACAAGTTAGTAGTTGTCTGGAATCAACAGCTTTGTAGACAACACGCTAGCATTTGAAGCGCAAAGTATTGTGTTCGAATCTCAGTGCAAACATGAACACTGAGATGCATGCATATCTAACTGACGACTCCCGAATATGAATAAACGACTAATTTAGATTGCACTGCTAACTACACACTAAAGATACTAAAAACATAAGAAATGAAGTTAGAAAAACAAAGATCAGAGCATTAAATGATAAGAATGACACCAAATCCAAGATTTATAAGAAGATAAAGAGTGAAAAGAATTGTGATGGGAAAACATGTATTTCCAGAAACAATTAATACAACTATTTGAGCTAACAAGCGAACTTACTGAATAAATCAAAAAAATATATTGTTTTATTACAATGACTGTAATCGACCTACTTAAAATGTAGAAAGAAAAAACTGTACAAAAGCATTTGATTGTCTAGATCTTATAAGAGACAGTATAAGAGAATAACTTGACGAATGTGTTGAATGACAAATACATATTTATTCATAGGCGTTAGAGAAATATACAAAACGTAATTTTTCGTGCATATATACCGGTTATTCATGTCAATACTATAGAATTACGACATCATTTAATGATGAATGAAACAGATTAACTTGTAATAACCTCAACAGACAAAAGAAATTTTACATGAAAATGATAGAGTCTGTTCAATAGTTCGAAAACTTGATCGGGTACCACATTCAGAATTAGTGGAAGCTATTGCTTATGTATAATAGTAATAAAGAAAATTGAAGCCGTACTGTTATAAGTAATACCTACCAAGTGTAAATCGTTCCTTGCCTATTGAGTACATTCCACAAACAACTAAAATGGTAGGATCTTTTATCAGATAATCACGTGTAACTTCTAGTGCTCCATGAATAACATCCAGTTGAGTAGGAAAATCATACTGAGATGAACAATATCTAAAAATTGGTAGATCATTCATAAAATCAATACATGAAAAATTTCTATCTTGTCAAAAGTGACATCTGGACATGGGAAACGAGAAACAATGTAAAAACAGCAATAACATAAGATTAATTTTAAATCAACTAATCATTTTTAGGTAGAGAAAACAAATAATTTTGATTGGAAAATATATCAATATTTTTAAATGTAACATCCTACAAAACTTATTTAACGAAAAATAAATTACAATCAGAATGAATTTAAAAAATAAACATTTAAAGAGCATTAGAAACTGGTACTGTATCCTCGGGTTTTCTACAACTAATAAACCTTAAGTCGATTAATACTCTACTTTAATGTTATTGTAATTCAGTCAGAGAAATGCCATATGAAAATTCAGAAAATATTGAATTATTTTTCAGAAAACATCGTCTATACGCTGTTCATAATTTCGGTCATCACACCGTATATTGTGGCTCTTTACCCAGAAATATGATTATCCAACGATCAATTTAAGTCGGTAGAAACAAATAAATTAAAAAAACTGACTGTAACCATAACGGTTCTAGTCATTTCTTTCATGTCTTTGATATGATGGGAAGAAAAATAAATTTTCTATTGATTTACTCATTGTGAGTTTTATTCAACATTACATTCATTCTAATTCAATGTAATGATCATTCAGTGTAGTAATTTTTTTTTCTTTTGTCGTATGATATTCTATTCTGTATCGTATACGATATTCTTGTATTCCATTGACATGAACTATGCTCATTATATGATTTGTTATAACTCTAAGTATTTTTCATATATGTGATTTTATTCTAATTATTAATCAAAAATGGGTGCAAAATCAATATATGAACCAGTGTATTTTAGACTATTTTGATCATCGTCGTCGTAATTTGGGGCTAATAAATCATCACTTATATCAGTCTTTGTGTTCTTACTTTCACATCGTGGGAATTACCGAGGTCCAACAATTGCGACGACCGAACTCAAGTCTTTAACACATTATGTTTATGTGAAGGATTTATGACAAAACCTTTCATCTAAAGTTTGATTACATACACCACTATATCTTAATATAGTGAGAATTATTCTAACAGGAATCGTCATACATAAGATAGCGCTCAAGTAGTGTATTTAAAATATGAATGTATAATTTAGGAGATTTTGGTATGTTCGTGGACCAGATTAATATTTCGCAACTCTAGCTTCAATATAGTGGACGAAACTACTTTCTCTTTTTCTTTCCTGTCCCGCTAATTGAGTGAGAGGTCCAGCTTCTTCACAAAAGCTTTATTGATGATGACCTTAATAGAATCTTTTAAAACATTCTAGTTACTCAGATATATATCAGTTGCAATGACTAAAATTTATGAACTGAGCAAATATAACTCAACACAAATAAGTAAAAATGCATTGAATGTCATCAACTAGTGCAGCGAAAATGTGTTGACATTACATTGATCTTAAATTAATATTGATTTCCTTCTTCATAAGATTTACTTCCACATCACTCACAGATTTTTGCTTATTTTAGAATGAAAAATGTACTAATAATACAAATATATACACTAGAAAAACATATATAAAGAAAACAGGACTCCTACGTTGTATCCAAAAATATTGAATGTATTCTTGGTAACTTTTTGGAAGAACTGTCGTCCGATAAATAATTTGTTAATATACTTGGATGAGTTAACATTGATGGTGTATAACGAAAGTCACCAGTATGCAGATAAGTCTTCTGTTTTGATGGCACATAGAAAAGGAACATTAAAGAGCCAGGACAACTGTAAGATAAATTAGTGGGAAAAATAATGAAATAGTAGCATAAGCATGCATTAATAAACCTTATTATATCGTGACTTCAATTTAAAATAAGAATCTCAGGGAAATCGGCATGAATTAATGTAAAATGGATTGAAAATTGAGAATAAAAATTGCTTCATGATGTTATTTAAACTTTTATTTATCCAGTAGCTTCTACTGGTTCTTTATTTCAAAAACATTTATTCTCATAAACTTAAAACGGAATATATTTTCAACTGTATAAAGGTTTAGAAGCGCAGATTAAGAATTTCACCTTTGTCGATATTCGGTGATCAGTCAAAAAACATATGAAGTGTGTTAGAATTATAGAAAATCTGATTTGAACTTACAGGAAGAACTCTTAGAATGCAAAATAAAACAATTAAGATACGTCGAAAAAATGAATACAGTGAGTTGTCAGTTATGTGAAATATATATACCGCACTGCTAACGATACTCATGTGAAGTACTATAATTAGCAACTAGTTGGATAAAGGCTTCCGTCTAGTTGAATTATAAGACTAATCTAATTCATTAAGTTACTGGCTACTGGTTAGAGAAATTTAGCAAATTGTGCTTTTTTTGTTAACTTGAAAGCAAAAACTGACAGCCGAGAACCAAATAAGATTTTCTGAAGTCCGGTACAACGAAGCAAACTATATCGTTCATCTTCGAACGGCACTGATAATATCATTCTGATCCCTTCTCTCTACATTATGTCAAGCTTCTCCTGTTATATGTGAGGTGAATTATACCTGTTAGAAAGGTTCTCAAAAGTATATATACACTGTCAACTTGTCCATCTTTTTCACTGCAACATCCGTTGTAGCTGAATTTTAAGCAAATAATGGACTACAGAAGGCTTTGATACTTGGTTTTATGTGTACAAGTATACTGACGAAAATGTCGACTGTTATATATTTTTGCAGAAAATGAAAACCCAAAGACCTAGATCAATGAACTACAAACACTGGCATAGTTCAGAGCTCAATTTACACTTTGAAACGTTATGTTTACGGTATCAACCTATTTTAAGGCCATTTGAGTGAAATAATTAAATGAGTGCTCAAGATTTTGAAGATTGTTAGTGGAGTATAAAGAAATAATTAAACCCGGATTCATTTCTTCAGAACAATTACGAAAGTCTTATCCACTCAACGTTTTGACAAACTAACTTAGTAATAATACAGCACATTCACTAGCAAAAACTTAACTGACCATTCTACCTGAATTTTGCTAACCAAAAACAATCGTCAAGCTAAAATAGCTACAATATTTTGCAGAATCAACACATTTAAAAACAAAAATCAAGAACAAATGAATATTTCACTATAGTCTTACTGATTAGCATCTAAAGCTGTTACTTCTACATCGCCAATCTTTGTACTCTTCTCTATCTCAAGCACATTAATAACCAGCCCCAAACCATAAGCATTTCTCAAAAGATTCTTTGTCACCTAAGACTATAAATAAAAGGAAATGAAAATATACCTCGCTGCAATAGATATCTCCTTTAAAATTCTTGTGGATGCCTCTGAAATGATCAAAATGGAAATGGGAGAGGAAGTAACAGGTACATCCTGGAATTTCAGCATAACAGAAAGCATCAACAGTAAATGATGTGTCTATCATTACTATAAACTTAAATAATTTGACAAACCTGGAATCCATTTATAAAAAGGGCATTTTCTAGTTTTTTCGAGTGGGTTGCTTTTAGATACTGGGAGAGATGTAGATATATTACATGGGTTCACGGTTTCGGCAGGAGCTTTGTATTTTTCGTCTCGGATAAAATAAGACAAAATACACTCCCCGACATAACCCTTTTTCCGTTTCTTGCCTGTCTTATTCATTGGAAATTAAATTAAATTTAAGAACAAATGAACGATTTTAGATCATTGGATCATTACATTTAGAACATTCTGCCATACATAATTAAGGGATTTCTGATCATTTCAAATATGTATTGACGAGATTGAAGCCTCTGATAAAATTGATTTCAGGTCTGTAAGCAATGGTTCCGGTGCTGAAAAAAATTGAAAGATATACTTTGACAGGATAGTAACCCTTTTGGTACCCTATTGTGCCACAAATTTTGTTAGGAATAAATAAGAATTACGAAGTCATATTCTTATATGAAGGATTAAGACGGTGAGTTACAAACAGTCTAATAGCAAGAAGGAATTTAGTCGGATGCGTAAGCATCCTATCAAATTTGGTGGGTCGAATGCGAGAACCTGAGCATATGTAAACCTGCTAGCTTTGTCAATTCACGTCACATATGGGGCCGATTAGATGCGTGTTCAGCTATACGAGGTCAAGTATATTCCGAAATAGTTTGATTTTTGACCTTTGAAAGCAAAGAACATAGATAAACTGGGAGGAAATGATTGTTTTTCTTCCATATAGTGAGACTAAAGTGAACAATGATAAGGCATACATTAATAGTCACTACTGATTGTCCAATGTGGAGGCAGCATAACCTGACTCACTCAAAAATTGTCAAATTACTTAAGTGAGATCCCCTCTGAAAACCTTACTGTAAACGCCCCAGTCATACTATCAATATAGAATCTGTAGAGTATAATATTCACCAGGGAACTAGTCAGGTTTTGAGTAAATGAATCCTTAATTGAAATTATTCCTGAAAAGCATTACTTTTGAATCACTTACCAAGTATTTTAGCATATACCTACACCTGATTCAGTGACCAAGAGACTGAATGATGTCTTAATAACCCCTATTTTCGGAGAGATAAATAGACAGCTTGTATCTAGTTCCTGACCTGTAAGTTTAACCGTAGCAGTTGTCAAAATCCGTCGTAAAGAGAAGACTGTCTTGTCACGTAGAAGCACAAAATCTGCTGACACTGGACAAACACGACCTTCGCACTGACCATTTTTACTTGGTGAACCACCAAACTGAAGTACATCATGATTTGACTTATGCAGAACATTACTAAACTCGGGATAAAGAGTACGATGGTCAAAGATAGAGAGCAAGAACAAACGGGGCACTTTATGATTGCAAACCTGCGGAGATAGACATTTTGAACCTTTCTTAAACTCCAGCTGGAGTATAACTTATCTAATTTTGTACTAAATACTTCGGGCAATCTAGGTGCATAACGGTGGTTTAAAAAGTTAAATACGACGCGTATTGGAATTTATTTCAACCTTTCACACGCGTGCTGCGAAATAGTAATAATCAGTGAGTAAGGGGACTAAGTGGTGTCAAATTAGTCTAATCAAATGTGATCCAGACTACATATAGAGCAATTTTACACATTATTTTAATAATGTTTAATATTCAGAAAATCATTTGGAACACAGGTTAGGACTGACAACAGATATTAAAGCATGGGCAAACAGAAATGCACACAGACAACCAAACGTCTGTGTTGCAATGTCATTATGGTATAATTCTGGGTTTTCTGGAATTCTCGTAGTTTATGATCAGCGAAGATTGTCTAGAGGATAGTACATGGTGATGCCAAATGTTTCAAGCTTAAAACTGATGTGGACTAATTGATTAGATGGTACGAATAAACGAATGAGGTGAGACGACACAGAAGAAAAGCAACAGACCTCCAAACAGGGATTTCCCATCCACGACCTTGAACCGGAGAGAGAGGGCGTTTCGTATTTGCAGTGTTTGAGGTCGATTGCGCGCATATAGGCTAGCGTGGTGCTTAGGTGTTCACATATTTACGTAGTCAGTCTGAAAACCACCACAGTCACTTAAAACAACATAAGCTATTGTCACGGTAAATAAATCCCCAGGAGCAATAGTTCTGTTAGGCTTCGACATTGATACTGACCTCATTGGATCCAGTAAATCAATTTACTGAACTCATCCTGGCTGACTGCGCTCGGTCACACATCCGCACCAGATCGCGAGTGGGGACGTCATGGTTCGCATTCCTTGAGAATGTGAACCAGCTTGGACCAAATGCTTCTCGATATATCGATATCTTTCCAAATATATCTCCATTTTCGGCTTGTAATTTGACTGGGCTAGTATACTTTGAATATAAGTGTTGCGCCTAAAAACGTTGTAAAACTTCGGATAATTGTGGCATCGTTATTATGTACTTTGTCTTATTTGGTGTAAACCTCATGTTTGTTGCTACTGTGTAACACTCTGAAAAACATCGGTTTAATTATTTTGTTGAGGAATCTATCACAGATAGGTGAATAGTTTTACTGAAAATAAGCACATACTTATGAAAACAAGTTACTGATAGCAGTTCACATACTTATGTTTGGTTATAGAAGTGAAGAAACGTACATGTAATAGATGTTAAATATATTTCTTCTCCACTTATACACTGCTTTCCAGTATATCCTCCTGTTTAAAGAAAATATCGACTACGCTTATTGGCCAAAATTTTATGGCTCGCAAGATCTTAGCTGAACGTGAAGTTAATATAGGACATCGGTTTTGAATCACCATTATTGTAACGGCGGTCTATCACAAACTTTATTTTATTTGTGTCAGTAGGTGTGTAATGAGTCCCACTCAATGTTTATTTGATGAGAAAGTTAATATACAGGTGACAAGAGATTCATTATAGGTTTGTGAACCTCAAAGTGAAAAGGTTTTGAATCGACAGTGCCAGAAGCTGTACTATGGATAGCTCAGTGCTACTCATGTTCTATGTGTATATAACTTGGCTAAAATTATGAAATATCATGTGCTTTTAAACACTTATCAGCCACTGAGAAATTCTCGACAGTTCACATGATTTCCGCAGATTATTCTGAAGCTTTTAACTGGAATATCACGCATATTTGCTTCCCAAACGTTTATTCTGACTTTAGCCAACAAAATGCTGTTGACAATCATGTGGAAAGCCAGACCAAGAAATGAATGATCAACCTTACCTAGGTGTTCCATTTATTCGTCAGTCCCGGGACAACAGAGAGTTTCGTCGACATGTTGCAGTAAAGAGGACAAGTTTTGAGGTGCGTACCTCAGTTTACACAACACATTTTATTTTTCGTGTAGAGATTTACTTGTTTACAGAAAGATTTATTACAATGTTCGACATTACTGATAGACTGCGCGTTCAGGTTACTTATTTCGACTGCAAACGGCAAGTAAGTTCAGCCGTGACTGAAAATTTACACTATACCAGAGTTTTTATGGTGCATAATAAACATGAATGCTGAAGATGCCACAGGTATTTGAAGTTTTTATAACGCTTTAACCAGTAACACCTTCTACTATGAATAGTAACCACCAAGTGAAATCAAAAGACAGAAGCGAGGAGGTTCGAAGATATATTTGATAGGTTAAAAATATATCGAGAGCAGACTGATCTAGACTGGCTAGTTATTGCAGGGTATGTCGAGCACGGTGTTCCCGCTCGTGATCTTATGCGGATGCGTCACCGAGCACCTTCAGCTAGATGATTCCATTAAAACTAATGTGGTCAGCATCCAATGCCGAAGACATACAAAGCTATTTATTTTGGGGATCTATTTACCGCTACAATGTTTATTGCCACTATCGGCTATTGTTAACCAAAAAGTGATTCATAAAGGCTTTTCTACACCACATCACCTCTGCATAAGCTAGCCAGCTCCAATTGAATTTGCTGATGTATTCAACGGAAAACTTCATTTCAAAATAGCGGAAATTATAAAACTCTTCAAGTACAGTCACGCACAAACCATACTTTAGTTCAAAATTTGATCGTTTTAGTGATGGTTGGGAGGAAATCAACATTAAAGCACGTGACGAATGATATTTAGTGCTTTTTAAATGCGAAAGAGAAATAATTCAGTTCAAAGCCTGAAAATACATCAGATCCTGTTTATTAATAGAAGTATAATTTTACTATGCTTAGTTGATTGGAAAGACAAGATTAAAGCTGGTGTAACAGTCGCAGAAAAGGAGCATAAATCTTAAAATAGACCACAATTATTCGCCATACGGTATGATCCAAAAATTTTGGGAATGCGTGAGACATATCGAAAGAGTCGATAAGTACAAATTTGACGATGCACACGATAACGTGCCTCATGTGAGCGAAAAAAGCAGAATTTTTTTCTACCGTCCCTTTATGTTTATACATCCAATTATCAGAGTTCAAAGAAGATTAGAAATTAGTATGAAAAATTAGGATTTAGACCTGGAACTTAAGGGTTAGGAGTTGAATTAAGAATTTTATTCACGGTTTGATATCAGATATAATTTCGATTGTTAGTCAACTAAATGGACGAATGAATTTTGCTCCAAAGCCAAAGATATACTAACCTGAACTTCATTCATTCATTCATAAATTGTAGTCTTGTCTTCACCACACCCAACCCTAAAATAATGAAATTAACTGCTCGTTGCACGTAAAAGTTTCCGTCCAATCCATTCAAAACAAGGATTATGAAAATCATAAGATTCGGCAACAAACTATTCGCAAGGGCACTTTGTATCTGCCTAATGGCTAGCTTTGTTCTGATTAGACGCACAAGACCGTCAGTATAGTGTGGTTTGAACTTAAGGATTCATTTTAGTTGTCGCATCAGAGCAGATAACCCTTGTTTCACAAAGGAAGCTGTCATCAACTCTGATGAACAAAGTTAACTAAACAGAGTGATTTGGGATACTGTGGAGAAAGTTAACATTGACTCATTTTGTAAGTAATCTTTGTTACAATTCGTACTTTTCATAGTTCCGCATTATTTGTGCAATTACTATCACTGACTGTAAAAATTGTCTTCTAAATTTAAGTTTGATCTCCCGTTACTGTTTGGCTTCCTACTGGTATGACATACTGATTATCGTTCACAAACACACTACTGCACACTTCTTGTTCCCAATTACTAACTGCTACTTTAAAAGAACTCTG